ACCTCAGAGTTGGTGAGCTCATCGTGCCAACAGATGTCAAAGATACACCTCAGACAGCGAAACAGGAATCTGTTCAGCCACTTTTCCCACCTAGTACTTGCTGTTCAGGGCTCACCATCGTAGAGAAGTGTACAGAGGACACGTTTGCAGACTTGCATTTTGTTTTCAGTCAGACTGCATTCCATCACTCGTGTTTGGGTGTGACAAGTACAGCTTTTATAATGAGGTGTGGATTTCATCATCAAGTGACAGAATGCTGGTGAGTGTGGAATCTAGATACGTGAATCATCAACAACCTCCAACATCACATTGTCAGTGATGATAGGTGGTAGCATCCCGAACATAACAGAAATGGGACCCAAAACTACTCACAACATTCCAAATGCAGTCCGACCACAGGCTTATACAGCTTCAGCAGTACATTCCTGCTCTGTATTCCAGCTCTCTCAAAACATATAGTGAACTCCTTTGCTCACAGCATTTCTCTTGTTACTGTAAGAGTGAAAAGATCATTTCATTTACAGGCCTTCCAGTTCTGATACCACACTGCGATTTTGGGTAGATTTATTGAGCCAGTATTTGCAGCGTGACAAGGGCAATATGAGTAAATACTTTCCCCACAATGTTTAACAAGACGATATATTGATCACTGTTGCAAATTGCTGTGGTTGCTCACCTTCTTTCACAAGGGCACATTTTTTGCATCGTATGTAACTCGGAGCAGAGAGATTGAAATGTTTGTGCAAATATTGCAGGTGTGCCAGGTTCCCATGCTTGATGATTTCAGGCTGTCTAGCAGCAGCAGTACCTGGATCATTGTCCATAGCAAGTTGATAAACAGCTTTACTAACTCTTTCCATACAGTTTCACAATCCACCTCTGCCAATACTTCCTGAGTGACTGTGTTCTCCTTAGAATAAAATGCAAAGTAGTGTTCCACCAGTATATAGTATTCAGTGATGACTTAAGGCCGTAAGAACATGAGGCATAGATCCAGTTCGTAGACAAACAGGAGGCTGGAAGAACACAGCAAGCCAGGCAGCATCTGGAGGAAAGGAAAAGTCTATGTTTCAGGTACTACCCTCTTCCTAGATTACAAGGTGTAGAGCTGGATGAACACAGCAGGCCAAGCAGCATCATAGGAGCAGGAAGGACAGGGGAAGGTACTGGGTGGGTTGGAAAGGTTGGTGGGGAGTGTGGCGCGAACTAAGGAGCGGCAAAGGGAATGGTCCTTGAGGAAGGCAGAGTGATGGGGTGTGGTAGATGTTCCAAGTGGTGGGGTCTAATTGGAGTTGGCGGAAGTGTTTGAGAATGACATGTTGGATGCAGAGGCTGGTGGGGTAGAAAGTGAGGACAAGGGGGACCCAATCTTTATTATGTTTGGAGGGGGGCAGTGTTGGTTGAGAGCTGTGGAGTGGGGAAGGAAGGAGGCACCATGGAGGGCTGTCCAGATGACAGTTGTGGGGGGTAGGGGAAGTGTTGTTTGAAAGAAAGGAGAGGGAGGTGTCTGAGATAGACCAAGTGAATTTGAGGTTGAGGTGGAAGTTGTCAGTGAAGTCGATGAACTGTTCCAGTTCAGCCTGGGTGCAGGATGCAGCGCTGATGCAGTCATCGATGTAACGGTGGAAGAGTTGGGGAGCAGTACCGGTGTATGTACTGGAGAGGGACTGTTAACATTACCAACAAACAGGCAGGCGTAGCTGAGGTCCATGCGAGCGCCTGTGGCAACCCCCTGGATTTGGAGAAAGTGGGAAGAATTGAAGGAAAATTTATTGAGGGTGAGGACTAGTTCGGCAAGGCAAAGGAGGGTATTGGGTGGGGGGCGGGGGGGGAAGCGGGGACTGGATGGGTCCGTTGGAGAGGGAAAAAACTGAGGGTCTGTAGGCCGTCCTTGTGGACTGTGGATGTGTATAGGGATTGCGTGTCAGCAGTAAAGAAGCACTGGGTGCCAGGGAACTGGAAGTTTCAAAGAGGTGGAGGGAATGGTTTGTGTCCTGGATGCAGGTGGGGAGTGCCTGGACGAAGGGGGAGAGAATGCAGTCGACGTACGGGGTCGAGGTCAATCCAGTCAGGGTGTGACAGGGTCCCTCAGCTCCTGACCTCGTTACAGCCTTGTTTCAAACGTGGACAAAAAGGCCTGAATTCCAGAGGTGAGGTGTGAATGATTGCTCTTGACATCACAAGTCCGCATTCGACCAAGTGTGGCATCAAGGAGCCTTAGCAAAACTGGAATCAAGGGGTACCAAGGCAAACTCTTTGGTGGTTAGAGTCATACCTGGCAGATAGGAAGATGGTTATGGTGTTTGGAGTTCAGTCATCCCAGCTCCAGGGCATCTCTGTAGGAGTTCCTCAGTGCAACGTCTTTGGCCCAACCATCTTCAGCTACTTTATAAATGACCTTCCCTCCATCATAAGGTCAGAAGTGGGGATGTTCGCCAATGATTGCACAATGTTCAGCACCAATCATGACTCCTCAGATACTGAAGCAGCCCATGTTCCATTCTGAGGCACCCACCATCCTGACCACTAAGTCAACATTCCTTCACTGTTGCTGGGTCAAAATCCTGGCATTCCCTCCCTAAGGTCAACCTACAGCACTTAGGCTGCAACAGTTCAAGAAGGCAGCTAATTACCACTTGTCAAGGGCAACTAAGGATGAGCAATAAATGCTGGCCAGCCAGTGATGCCCTCGACTGACAATTAAATACAGAGGCAGGCTATTCAGCACATTGAGTCTACTCTGCCTCTCATTGAGATCATGGCTGATCTGATAATCCTCAATGTCATTTTTCTGCCTTTTTAAAAATCTGTCTATCTCAACCTTTCCAGTAAAGAATTTCATCAATTCGTTATCCTCTGAAAAAAGAAATTCCTCCTCTCCACTCTGTTTGATTTCAATGTAGCCACTTTGTTTGTTGACTGGCATGTTACATTTCTTATCCCTTCATACATACTTTTAACCTATTTTGAAACTCCTGGAAATGCAAAGTTGTAACCAGTAAGCATTGGGATTCTGCTTAGCACTCTGTTGGACTTTATTTCAAATTGTTTTTAATGCATTCAGAGTCTTCTTGCTCTAATTACTCTTGTAATTAATGAGAACAGACTATTTGACTTCAATGACAGGTTCCATCAGAGGTGTTAGTCTTGAACCAATCCATTTTTTCTGTTCTTGCTTCCCATATTTTGAGAGTGTGGTATTATATAGCATCTTGAAATAGTTTCTGTTCCATTTCACATCTGTATTCTGTTTGGGAATGCCAGAGAGAACCCGATCAGTTAAGCCAAGGCACAGTTGTTTTTAACTGTATAGGCAGTATGGTTGGTGTTTATATGAGGATTCCAATTCTGCTTTGAATGAAACATCTTCAGGTTTTGCTTCCTAACCCTGGTTCACAGAGTGATCTATATCGCAGTCTGTTCAATGGTAGCCCCATGTGTTGAAAATGCTGTTCAGAGAAGCAAATCTGATGAGGATCAGTTCCAACTGGTGACAATGCCCAAATTTTGGATCTCTCTACGACACCATGTGGCATCATTTGTTCTGAAACAGGATAGTGATTACACAAAGTTCATCATAACAGCAAAATGTAAGTAGTTTCTGTTCACTTCTATTTATCTTTCCAAATCATAATATCCAAGGTGGGATTGTCATACCTCAGGGTCCATGCACACTCTTGCATTGAAATCCCCCAGTAGTTAGAGATGTTCTGATGTAGGATTTTGCTAATGGCAATGTCAAACTCCACAAAATTGGTGTTTCACCTCTGTCCTGTAATGGAGTGTACAGGTTTGGAGCACAAGTACAAATAAGATTAACTTACCCCGTTTGAGTTGAGAAGCAAATGGAAAGAACACACTCCGAACTATTTGTGGAGAACTGTGTAGGAGAGTAGCAAGTTTCTTACCTCATAGCCTTTGCCTCGTTCAAAAGTTTCCCTTGAACTTTTTACCTGCTAGAGGAACATGTTATGTTTTGTTTTCAACGATCCACTCTCAAGATCCTGGCCTCTCGTAGGGAAGCTATGTCAAGATTCAGTATATCAAGTTGCGTCATTGTTCTATATTGAAACTAGAAGCTTGGACAAAAATGATGGAGACCCAATGCTGCCCAAAGGTTAGAGTTTCTCTCTTTACCTCCGGGTGCGAAGATAAAACGACACATTTAGCACTGGAACGATTGCAGGAGTTGACAGCAGTCCCTCTTTGGGCTCCTCTTCACAGTGTTCAGACTTTATTCCCTTAGCCTTCAACTGAGGACATCAGTTGCATTTATATAGCACCAGACAAACCGACATTTAAAGACTCTGAAAACTCAACATCTCCAGTTTCACAATAGGCTCCCCAATAATAACATCAAATGAACAGCCGAGTAAGGCCTGACAACTTTGTTAGTTCTATCTGAAAACTACGCAGGGCGTAATTTGTAAAAAGTTTAATTGCAATTTCTAAATCTGAGTCAACAGTACAGAACCAGGGATGCCCCTCTCGAATGGAAAATCACTTCGATAACCAGCACTTAACGGGGGGCGGGGAAGGAACTTGCAGCGCATTTAGTTTCTGCTCATTCTGAATCCGTATTGTCTAAAGAAATTAGTATGCGTGGCAGGAATCACGGAGCAGTCCTCAGCGATACCAGCAGAAACCACAATTCACCGGCTGCTGCTCATGTGGTCAAACAACTGTCAACATCAGCGAACTCTCCAAAGATTAGATTAGAGAGCAGCGTAACAAATCAGAGGCTTGCTTAAGAGTAATATCTTTTTTAAAAACGCCAAATATTTACAAGGAGTGAAATCTGACAGACCTGTAAATCTATTACGGTCACAGAGACGGGGTATATACTGAATAATGTTCACACAGAGTTTTAAAACAGTAAAGTCTAAACTGAATACCACCATTGCAATTAAGGGATAAAGCATCAGCCCACATTTCGTTTGGACCACATTCTCGATGCTAAAGAAATGCATTGACAAGGCACTGAAGTACTTTATCCTTACCTTATTTCCTTAATGCTTTCCAGTTTGCACATAATCTCCTGCTCGTCGGTCATATTGCTTCCAGTTGATGTGCGTTCAGAATGTGAAAATGCTAACAAAAGAACTCTCTCTGTGGCTGTTTCATACATCAAACAGTGAACATATACACGGTGCAGGAAGTCGGGAGTTGCAGTCTTTTCCACTGAAAACAGAAAGAAAGCTCTGGAGTATAAACTACCACTCCCGGCAGGCTTTCTATGATCCCTCACTTCCTGTGCTTCAGGACTTCACGCGGAACGTGGGAAAAGGAAGCTCTCGATAGATTAATTGCTGCACTTCAGTTTCGAAGATTTATTTATGAACGACGCGTCCGTGAAGTGGGACCGATTTGAAATGAGGCTACTTATTTTGGATTAGGAATAACGGTTTTTAATATAAGATTATTATATAATACAATAAACACAAGCTGGAAATCTGAAACAAGCAAGTGTTGGAGAAACACCGTAGGTCTGGCAGCGTCTGGAGACAGAAAAACAGAGTTAATGCTTCGGGTCCAGTGACCCTTAGTCAGAAACATTTTTTTTTAAATGATGTTTCCCGTTCTTTGAAAAGCCATCTATTTAAAAGAATAAAAACAGAAACTGCCAAAATTGAATAAAAGCAGAAAATACTAGACCAGAATTAATGCAGCATCTCGAAAAATAAATATGCAGATAAAGATTAGAGTGTAGCCATTTCATCTGAAATGTCTACCCCCAAAACCTTAACTCATTTATTTAGATGACTGAAGCTGACACATTTGGTTCTCTTGAGGCCTATCTCAAACTTTCTGGCCATAAATATTTCCTGTAGTGGTTCTTCAAAATTAAAAGTTCTAATTAGTAAATCTGCAACAGAAGGAGCTGCTAACATTGAGGGGAAATATATAATTTTGAGCTACACATTACAAACCCCTACAATAGGAAATGACAAATCCTGCGAGAGAAACACCCAAAAAAAGAGTAAAGTTCCCTCTAGATCCCAAGAATGTCTCACAGATCTGTTTGAAAGCATTGGAATTTCTAGGCAGGGTCTAGGAAACACTAACTGTAACTGATGACTGACTTTAGCCAACAGAAGAGTAATTTAGGATTATTTTATATAATTATTTAATAGAAGGCAGCTCACCACCACCCTCTCAAGGACAACAAGGGACAAATAATACATGCTAGTTGTCCCACAACACCCACATCCCACAAATGAATAAAAAAAAACTGTTCACTTGTTGAATATAGAAACAGAAATTGGTCATTCAATCACGAGTTATGTTCTGCCATTCTTTAAACAGGAAGAACAGAGGCATAGATTATTTTCTAAATGGGAAAAGGCTTTGAAAATGTGAAGCACAAAGGGACTTGGGAGTTCTAGTTCAGGATTCTGTTAAGTTTTTTTTGTTTATTGGTGGGATGTGGGTGTAACTGGCTGGTCAGCATTTTATTACCACCCCTAGTTGCCATTGAGAAGGTGGTAGTGAGCTGCCTTCTTGAACCAGTGCAGTCCACCTGCTCTGGGTTGACCCAAATTGCCATTAAGGAGGGAATTCAGGATTTTGACGCAGTGACAGTGAGGGAACAGCAAGTCAGGATGGTGAGTGGCCTGGAGAGGAATTGAAGGTGGTGGTGTTCCCCTGCAGGCTAACATGCAGGTTCAGTCGGAAGTTAGGAAGGCAAATGTGATTCATTTCAAAGGGGCAAGAATACAAGAGCAGAGACGTACTGCTGAATCTGTATAAGGTTACGGTCAGGAATATTGTGCCCAGTTTTGGGCCTGTACCTAAGGAAGGACATGCTGACCTTGGAGGGGGTCTGGGGGAGGTTTACAGGGATGAACGGCTTATCATATGAGGAGCAGTTGAGGATTCTGGGTCTGTAATTGATAGAGTTTACAAAGATGAGGGGTGATCTGTTTGAACTTACAGAAAACGTGGAGGCCTGAATAGAGTGGACGTGGAGAAGATGTTTCCACAGTGGGAGAGACTCTAACCCAAGGGCAATCTCAGAGTGAAGGGATGACCATTTAGAGATGAAGAGGAGTTTCTTCAGCCAGATAGTGGTGAATCTATGAACTCATTGCCACTGAAGGCTGTGGAAGCCAAGTCATTTATTGTATTTAAGATACAGATAGATAGGTTCTTGAATTGGTAAGGGGACCAAGGGTTACAGGGTGAAAGCGGAAGAATGGAATTGAGAAACATATCAGCCTTGATTGAATAGTAGAGCAGATTTGATGGACCGAATGGCCTAATTCTGCCCCTATATCTTATGGTCTAATTCAATTAGCTCATGGCTGATCTGTAAATCAACTTTATTTGCCTACCTTTGTTCCAAATACCACGATAGATTTACCTAACAAGCCCATCAATCTTGGTTTTGAATAGTTTAATTGATAACAAAAACAGAAATTGCCAGAAAAATTCAGGTGTGGTAGCACCTGTGGAGAGAAAGCAGAGTTAATTTTTTTTAGTAATTTTAAAATAGATAATTTCCAACTTCCTAAGCTCAAGGAACCTACAAGTAAGCTCATGCAGCCTATCTTCAGAATTTAGCCCTTTTATTTCGAGATTCTGGTAAATCTACAGAATATTACTTCTAAAGAAAAAATATATTTCTGCTGTTTGGTGCCCTAAGTTCAGCACAGCACTTCAGATGAGGACGGACCAAGGTATTTTACAACTGTAGCACCACCTCCTCACTTTTGAATTTCAGTTCTTTGATCTCAAAGAACTGTTGCAGTGCAGAAGAAGCCAATTGTGTCTGCCCACGTTCTTCAAATAAACAATTCACTTTGTGCCATTATCTTGCCTTCTCCCTGTACTTTCTTCCTTTTCAGGTAACAATCTAATTTACTTTTCAATGCGTCAATTGGACCTGCCTCCAACAAACTCTTGGACAATGCATTCCAGACCTTAACCACTTAATGAACAAAAAGCTTTTTTCTCATGTTGCTTTTGTTTCTTTGACCAATTATATTAAATCTGCAGCTGTTATTTCCATATTTATTAATTAACCGTGCTACTGCTAATAAACCTCATAAATACTGATATCTTCCCAATAAAGAAGTATTACTGTAGTTATTTCCTCTGTACCAGCTTAAACTACTGACCCCATTTATAAAACAAAAACTTACAACTCACCAGCAGTTCACCTATCTGTTCATCTAACTAACGCTTCCAGTCTTCAGTGTTAATGTCTTACCGATAGTCTATCAGTTCCCTCTCTCAGCCCAACCTTTTTATGTGAAAAGGTAAGAGCAGCATTTCTACCCTCACTTCAACCAATCCCTCACTCAACAAATTTCCAACCAAACACTCTGTGGCTAGCCATATTTAGTGACAAACTGTTTTCTTCTTGCGTACTCACAAAGATGATTTGATATCTTCTTGTCTTAGCCTAATTATTCGAGCTGGTCTGATTGGCAGTCATCATTGCCTCAGATTCAGTCATTCATCTGGGATTTCTCAATGTTTTTAAACAATTCAATTGAAAAGCAAAGGACATGCCAAGATAGTCACAATTATACAATTGTTTGGTGCGTCATTCAGGGTAGCATACTTGATTAGCTTTATTTATTTGTCGCATGTACTAAGTATAGCAATACATAAGTACAGCAAAAATTGATACAACATAATTGGTGAATCCCAGAATGGAAACATAGAACATGCCTTTCTAGGGATTTTAAATATGTTTATAAACACGGACATTTAAATTACCATTACTGCTCAACAATTCACAATATTTCATCACTGAGAGAACATTCTGATTTATCTTTTCTCAGGTGTACTTCTTTTAACACCTTGAAGTAGAAACCACCAGGTTCAGAAGATTTGTTTCTCTTAAACTTTATTTTTTTGTCTGTTACTATTTTTAAGTTAACTTAAATCAATTAATTTCCTCCCCTTGATTTATTTTCAGACCTCCTTACAAACTGATATTTTGTTCTCTACTGTCATATTATCTCATTTAACAAATCTGCCATGTTGTACCTATATGATAATGGCCTGGCCTCCTAGTGTGTGGACTAGTGTGGTCTGAGGGTCACAGCTCTGAGACCATCAATTTAAACACTGCTGCAAAGCAGTTAAAGAAAGAACCTGACTCAACCACTGCTGAAAGGGATCAGGACAAAAGAGTCGCTATCAACTTACAAAGTCAAGAATCTTAAAATCAACTGATTAACTATTGATATTTTTGCAACTGATAACATCCACTGCAATTGGTACAATGTTCAACTACCCAGACTTCATAAAAACTTCAGAGACTGATTTGTATATCATTCTTTTAACTCCCAACTTTTCAGACTCATCTTTTATTTCTAATCTGTGTGTATGTGTGTTATGTTACTATTTCTCCTCATGTTTATTAATTAATAAACTTATTCTTTCGTTAATTAAAGAAAGATGGAATTAAATTGGTCCCTTTTAAACGTAAGTTCATTTAGGACTGAGAAAGGTATCTGCAAGAGGAGGGATCCTTTCAAAATTAACCTTGTTGCGACCAACCGAGGGGATGGATTGAATAATCGAGGGGAGACAGTTCACTCCTCTTCAAGTGGGAGCTTAACAGTTTGAAGCATGTCATCTGGAGCCATAACAAATTGGGAAACATCACTCCAGGACTGATTGCAACATTCTAAAACCTTTACAGTTACCTTGAAATCCCTTACAATATTTTAACAATGTTTCCTGACATACGTATACCCACTGGTGCTGTTTCATCCATGTAATGTTCTTTCTAACCTCACAATGTGCTGCATTATAACCTTCTGGTTTCTCTGAAGATCCTCAAGTGCCACTCAAGAGGTCTTCTGCTTTCATCTGACAATTCTCTTTCCATTTGCAGTTACTTTAATAGGGCCCTGATTAGTGGATGAATATTGAACAGACTTGTTTTTCTCTTTTGCTTAACAGACTTGTGGTTCATTTTCTTTCTGCTTTCAGCTGGTGAGGCAAGTAAACAATTGACCACATCATCTTCAGTTAAGTTTGCAAGCACAGTTGCTAGCTTTTGAAATCACTAAAATCCTACTTGTGGCTGAATTCTTAGGCTGCTTGTTCATGTTACTCTGATTGGCAGACATTGTCACAAGACTAGTCTGGGATTTTTCAATGTGTTTAAACAATGTAATTGAAAAGCAAAAGACTTACCAAAATATTTGCAACAATACAATTGACTGATGAGTCAATCAGGATTCCATTCTGATACAACACAATTAGTGAATCCCAGAATGGAAGCATAGACCATGATTCTTCAATGGATTATGCCATCTTT